GAAAAGAGTCAAGCGGCCAGCAAGTATTCCAAGAACTGTGGCTGCTGCCGCTGTTGCAGGGCATGTTAGATGGCTTTACGAAACATTCAACTGCACTGGTGAATCCACAGCCCACGACACACCTGTAACCCAAGTGCACAAAATGCCTCGATGTAAAAGGTAGACTCTCGTATACTTTTCTTTTACTACAACCATCTAAAACCCTCCCAATCTGACGAGGCTGAAAACAATCCAACTGTAGGAGGGTATTACGAATCCTGCAGAGTCTATATATACAACTAGTCAAACCCCCTCTTAGTGAGACACAGACACACCCGTGACGCACCCCAAATCTTCCACTTGGCCCTATGCGTATCACAGACCACGCTCCTTTCAGCTCTTGCCGTTCGACGGGTTCCGCCAGTGACACAGGGGATCTCCATCGTGGCGCGGCTGTGCTTTCTGGTGTTGCTCTGGAGAAGCTGCATTGACGAGCGGTGCTTCATGTTGAAGGTGATGACCAGATTGGTGAACGCCTCAGAGAACGGCAGCGAGGCAAGGTCAGTTGAGTGATCTAGAGTTGGTGATCTATAGTCAACATGTGATGTATCCTGCCTTTAGCTTTGTGGCGCTTGAAATCAACTTCACCATTCCAAGTTCTCAAGAAGTTTTTTTTTTGCGGGAGCAAGGCAACCAATAGACACTTCCACGGCCAGTGGCAAAGGTGTTGGTATGTGTTGGTCGACCTTCAGGCTCAGGAAACAAGCCCCGCCAGGTGGCCCTAAGTAGGTTCACCTGCAGACAAATCGCTTTCAATCCGACAGCGTCCCCACTGCAGATTTGCCCCGTCGGGCCGCTGTAGTTCACCACTCTTGACGTCGCCCGTGGACGTCGTCCGCCGTCGCCGTCTCACCCGTGCTACGTCGAAGAACACCGCCCTGAAACGACGTGACGCACCGCACGGTGGCGGTCGTGGAAACCACCGCCAACCCGAGGTCTCACTGATTCTTTGCACCTCTTTGGTCGCCTTGGCAGCTGGAGCACGTCCCTTGGTCTTATGACATCGGTCGGAGCTGGAACCGGAGCAGGTCACGGGCTGAACGTGGGATGCGGTGCGAAGACGCGCTGTTTGCGCTGTCTGCTGTCGTTCAAGGTACTCCACTGCTGGTGATGGTGATGTTCGTGACCTATCATGGGACCTTTCCACTGGTGCTCTTCTTCGCAGCTTTGGGGATCCAAGGCACTTTGAAGCTTTGGTATGGGGATCTGGATCGGGGGAGGCTGGCTAGGCTGGTGAAAGGACGGCGAGGAGGGCCTTTGGACATTTATGTTGAGCATGTATAGTCTTAGCAATATCATTACGCGGCATTATCCATTCATGGCGATATCCATGTTGATCATGTTGAGCTGCTTTTAGTCTTAGACTGCACACCGAATATCATGAGATCTGAGATTCTTCATGTGGCTAAGGAACTTGCCTGGTGGTAGGTGGCTGCTAAGCCTCTTCGTTGCACGGTGGCTCGGACGAAGTTGAAAGAACGCTTGTCCTGTGTACTGGAACTTTATCGGACAGGAGCTTGCATGAAATGTTTCAGGATGCCCAGAGGAGCTATTCAGTGATGGCACGGTTTTTGCAGGTATCAAGTCAGGCGGCGCTTCCCAAGATGTTTCGAGGCCAAACAAAGCTGAGTATACGGGCATGTGTTCTGTTTACGCTTTCCTCGAACCGATCCTTGCGCTCGGGGACATCCACGCACGTCCCTCACTGGAAGGCCTCGGCTTCAACCAGAAGCAGGCTGAAAAATAAGTAGACTGGATCTACTAGATCATATATAATGACCTTTTTTTCATTTAGCAGTTATTATGTTAGATCTCCTGAGTCTTTGATTCGTTCCACATTGCATCTGCCTTGAATTTCTTTCCCGTCTCATGATGTATCATGATGTATAGCGCTTCTAGACGTCTATAGATCTTATGTCATTGCGTCCGTTAAAATCAGTTGAATCTTGTTGTTTGTTTTTCCCCAAACAGTTTACTGTTGGGGTTCTATCTTAGAAAACAAAGAGCTGGCCACACTCACTGGTCGCGCCCCTGAACTCTGTGGCTGGGCTCTGTGGCCCGGCTCTGTGTCCGGGTCTTGTCCTCCTCTCGTCCTTGTCTTGGCCGCGCCCCTGAACTCTGTGGCTGGTCTCTGTGGCCCGGTTTACTGGAGAGGAGTGTGGCCGAACAAATAGCGATGTCAATGCCGACAAAATTCATTGATGAAGCGGCTTGCTCTTGGGGTGAAAGTAGGGCGTGCCAAGAAATCGACGTTTGACTAATATTGGTCTAAACGTGTCGTCTTGAAGCTGTTTGGGGTCTATGCTTGTTACATCTTTGTACTCCTCATGTTGATCACCTGAGCTGATCCTTTTCACTCATGCCTGTTCATTCCTTGAACTTCAATCCCTCCTCATGTTGACGTTTGCTCCACCTGAAAGAGCTCCAAGGCACCGCTGGCGTCGGAGCGCGAGCACAGGCGCGGAGACCGCGGCGAGCAGCAGCGACGCCTCGTCGAGTGAAGCTGGCACCAGCTGAGGCCCCCCAGCATCGATCGGGGTGAAGCGGATGACTCAATGGGACGTGTCACTGCCAAGCAATGCTTATTCGCATTCTTGAGTTGTTGTTTTTTTTCATTGTTTTGGGTGTGTTGGTTGGTTGTTTGTAGTGAAAAAGAGACCATCGCTGTCAAACTATGAGCTGGGCACCAGCGCACCTAATCTAGAGGGCTTCACTGCATGGTCTATATACCATGGTTTCACACGTTGTTTATTTGGCACATGTTGCTTGAGTTCTATGAGAGTACGAAGTGAACCGTGTGAAGTGCACCGGACACATTCCAACCTCTCGTTGTCTCCCCAGTGTTGGTCGTTTGATATCGTTTGATCGCCCCAAATGATGCCCCACACCCTGCCCAAGTGACCTCGTTTGATGATCCAGGCAGTCTTCGATCTGACAAACTGCAGACCATCACGCGCACCTTGCGCGGGGGTCCGCACAGCCACACAACACGTGCACATGCCTCGTCCGCTTGCCCGCTAAAACGGCGGGCGACGGATCGAGGATTGGTGCGTCAAAGGTGTTGATCATGGGAGCTTTGAAGAGTATGAGAAAGGCTATGGCTATTACAGTAGAGATATTAGAGGGTATGCAAGACCGATCCTGAGGATACATCTGGGAGGATTCGAAGGAGGGTTCATGTTGTTGATGAGGGGGTTTTCACCCCCGTGGCATCGTCAGCTTGACATCAAGCTAAATTAACAACAAACACATCCATTTTAGACCTGCTCTTCGTCTTCTGCTTGGTCCAAAACCTTTTGAATTCGATCAACTTTGATTCTCGATCAAGATGGGACATATGACATGCCCAACCAAGTCGTTTACTCCACCACTGCACCTTCCACCACTGTGCGCCTCCGGTACACCATATTATGTTTGCTGAAGATGGCATCCATAGACAACTGGTGCAAGGGAACTCGTCCGTTTGTAGGTTTTTTTCCCGAATTGCTATTTGTTTCTTTTCTGTACTCTCTCCCAAGATTGACACCTGCATTTTGGGGGATCGCATTTGGTGCAAAACTGGATCTGACCTAAATCCAGGACGGCCCCGTTGGATTTTCCAGTGGTTCCGGCTGTGTCCTCTCCCCTCACCCTCTCCCCATCTCCAGAGATTTGGTCCTTATGGCCGATCAAACTACCAGCTGATCTATCTAACAGACCGTGACACCTTCCAATGCTTCAACTTGCACCGTTGTTGGCACGTTGGAAGAACTTAAGCCCTTTTAGATCCTTTCAGCCGTTTCCATCTCAAATCAGGGACCTTGATGTCTCTTGAGGCACCTGTTGTGAAGTGCAAGTTCAGGTATTTGGCGGTATTTGGTTGAAGGTCATGTCCCAGGTCAGCACATGTGGACGTAACGTGACGCTAGCGATTTGCGTATCGTCGTCGCGAGCTGAGCGCTCGATCCCGTGTATCATGGGGTCAGTTCTTCAAGGCGAAACTGCGTCCAATCGAGCCATCGAGCTGGTGTAGGACGTTTGAGCTAGTTCCGACCAAACACAGAAGATAGAGATGAACACTAGGCTAAGGGTGCAAGGCCTGGCCTACATACTGCAGTGTACTAGGTGGAGGTCGAGCTCAAAAATTGGTGGTGATTTAGTACCTCGAATTCCTGGAATTGAATAAAGCCACTCAATTAGCTGGACAAAATCCAATGAGGATGTTGGTCTCAAGCGGTATTTGCATCCTACATCGATCCGCAAGTGATTCTGATCCATCGATCGCGTTTAAAGGATGGTTCGTTTTCAGGAAACTCGATGGCTCGACCGGGCATCGATCCATACAGCTTCCGTTGAAGATGTTGGTCAAAGAAGTGTTCGCAGCTGGTGAACGGAGTGGCGATGGGACCCAAACCTGGGATGAGGAATCTCTATGAATCTAATGCACTTATTGCCAGGACCGAGATCGGACCGGAGTTGTTGGAAGACATCACGTGGATTCGCTGCTTCGTGTATTTTTTTTGCGCAGATTTGCATTGGCTTGTGAGTGCAAAGCGGCTTGAACCGCAGCCATCTAAAGCTAAATGTGTGCCAACATCTGCCCACACCACATTTGGCGATCCAAAAGGATATCAAAGAATATCAAACAACTGTTTGTGTCATAGCCGATGTACAAGGACCACAACTGTTGGAATACTGCAGCATCGATCCACGTGTTCCTGAAGTTTCTAGTTGCGGGGGATCTGCAGTTCTGCAGTTCTGCCATGCTTCTCAACTTCACCTCAAGCACGGCAAGGGACGGCGTGGCCCACATCATGGGCATCACGGTGCATCACACGGTGCATCGACTGAAGGAACTGAAAATGATGTAAACAAGAAGCAGCAAGAGGGGAACAGAAGAACAGAACTCATAGCGTGAGTTGAAAGGGACGAGACATCAAGTTGACGTGAAAGAACGATGATTGCTCTTCCCCCTTGTTACAGTCCACTCTAGTGCGATGCTTTGCCATGGCCGCCCATGTCCTCAACCACCACGCATCAGGCGGTCTCCACGCACCACCACGCATCAGGCGGTCTCCATGCACGCAACGGTGAGCCCTGCACGCTGGTGCGTGACCTTTGGGGATCTCCAGCACCTGGGCGAGAGTCAGCGTCGGTGCGTGAGTCCGCGACGGGAACCGTGAGTTCGAGTCCTGCGGTGGAGTGGGCGGTGTGAGTGTTGAAGGATCTGTTGGCCACGAAACAGTGCTTTCTGCCAGGTCCGGATCTGGTGGGTTGTGGAGGTCTAGATGTCATGGCCGGACGGAGGACAGAGTCATGGTGTGTCAAATGGAGAATGGAAGTACTATGTACGTTGGATAGTTTTTGAGCCGAAGCCATTGTGGATGTGGATAAGGGTTAGCTACAGCGCATGGTAGGCACATACTGTCACATACCCTTTGCGGAAAGGTTGTTCCTGCACAAGCTGTTGTCTAGTTTCCCAGAACAATTACCTTGATCGCAGCTCACAAAAGATGCATGAATGGACATTTCCCCATGTGTTGATCCTGAGAGTCTTTGTCATCCTTACTCATGTGGTGCTTGTTTCGAACGATCAAGAGGGAACTCTGACGATGTTGCGTATGTACGGATCATGTGTCATATACTTCGGGTAACACAAGTTGCTTGTCAATATGTATAGACCTCAGCTTGCTCCTTTCCAAGCTCTCCACGTGTCCATGCGGTCCGTTTACCCCACCCGCCAGGCACATGCTGTCCCACGCGTGTTTTCCCGGGTTTAGTTGGGATCGGCCCAGGTATTTGCACTCCGAAGTCCAGGAGGCCATTCAGGAGCGAAGCAGATCCGAAAGCCATAAGAGCAGCATCTCACGTTTGAACCGCCCTGTGAACCGCTACGGAAACACGTGTCGCTACGGAGGTCTCATGTTCTGCATTCCTTGCACTTGCACTTGCACTTGGTTTCGGAAGGAAGCCATTCGCACTCCAGAAGCGACTTGAAAACACACAAAAGGTGAAATGTTTGAAGGGAGGCCAGACTTTACACTCGTTTGTCCGGACATGTTATATGGATTTGGATGGATTTGGTTGATCAAGCAGCTATAATCAATGGTTCCAAAGAAGCAAATCAAGCTGTGGAGCGTTAACTTTAGCCTCCTTGGCTCAGGATTGCCATGTCCAACTCAAGGGCCATTGGTGCATGCCCTGGAGCATTACAATCCTCAACAAACTCAGAAACCCAGTCTTTCCCGTGCAAGGAGGATAATTTCCACCAGGTCATCAACAACTGGCTGTGTGAAAATCTGAAAAACGTCAACATGTTGATGAACATCCACGGACAATTAACATCCAATTAACATCCAATCCAATTGACCCATTAACATCCAATCCAATTGACATCCATGGAAATTAAATAGCACAAATTAAGATCATCCCTTTTTTGGGGGGCCTGCCGTTCCAGGATGGGCAGATTCCCGAGGATTCCTCGGGAGCCTATGGACCGAGCATCTATGTGGTGAATGAGAAGTCTTTTGTCCGCCAAACGGGGAAGGTGAAGGGCTGGTGTCAAAGTCCGAAAGCCCTGAGTTGGTGAACTCGTGCTTGCAAGAGACATAAATATACTATTCATAATATATATATATATACCCAAAACGACATATCCCAGCAGATCCCACCAGATCTTAAATCCAGTTTCACTTCAAGCAGATTCCCGGAGCTTTACATTTGGTTGGTGGGTCCATCGCATGTCCGTCGTCGAACACATTAAGTTATCCGGGTTTTGCTGAGAAAGTGCCCGGCCCAGTCGGCCTTAGGAAACCAAGACCACAAGGTCGAATATCTAGGGGGTATTTGGATCCCCGGACGTTGCTTCGACCTTTCAACGTGTTCAACGTGACCTGCCATGGTTTTGTATAGTGTAAAATCCTTAATCATGAGGTGGTTCGGTCAGAACCATTCAAGGAATGGTGCTTGGAAGCCTAGGGTCCGCTATTGCGTATATATATATACATTTTGGGGTTCAGTTCCATGGAGATCCGTCTCACTGCCCCCGAACACCCGGTCACCCAGGCCACTCGGTCAGCCCTTTCGGAGTGGCCCCGCACGTCGGGAGACCGTCGGCTCTGACCGTGCGAGGTACATCAAACCGATTACGGCTCTGGCTGGAAAGATGAGCTGGGCCCTGATGATGAACCCCCAATGCTTGGAATCCGACGCTGGGAATGCGATCTCCAGCGTCTCCAGCTTATGGAGGGAGAGGATAGATAATGGAATTGACTGTAACTGTACGTGTACTGCTTAGATCCTTAGGTGATTTCTCCACCAAAGCCTTTTAAAGGGATCTTGGCTGTGTGCTGTTGAATGCCAAAGTGGCACCGATCTTTTGGGGGGTTCGGGCACATTGATGAAGTGTGGCCACAATCACCACTGGGATCAGCTCGCCCTTATTTGACTCTGTTACGACCAAGACCAGGACTGCCCTCTTCGGCGAGTTTGGCTCGCACATCTCCAAACCCATCCAAACCCATCATTTCGCTCATGGCCAATGTGTTACCTTTGCTACTAGGAGCAAGAAACTACTAGTTACTATAGTAGCTCCTGGCATCGCCACTAGGAACCCAAGCATCGCTACTAGTAACAAGAAACTACTAGCTACTAGGGGCTCCTGGCCTTACTACTAGGAGCGTTCGGACGCTGCGACCTCGACCTCCAAACCCGCCAAGGACCTCTTCATCACGCATGCGTGGCAAGAAGGTATTTTCGACGCTGGGCACTGATCACTATCAACAGGATTCAACGATTCGAAGTTTGGATGTCCTAGCCATTCCTAACCTATTCATTGTGTTGTTCTATCTGTTCATCCATTAAAAAATAAAAATAAAACACAGCAAAAAGGCGGAGACTTGGCATATATAGAAGTTGGACCATAAAAACGGACCGCTTTTTCGTTCCAGTTCTTGCATTGGATTCCAAGAATACCAAGAAAGTTGGAATGTCCTCTTGGGACGAGATGCTCAATGACAAATGTAATAATGGCATATGATTCATATGTATACCATATGTTGGTATATTTGGGGTTTGTCCTATTACCTGTAACAGTCAGTAAACAGGCAAATCACTATGTTTGAACAAGGCCTGCAACCTAACCATGTTCATCCGCTGGGCCCTGGTATTTGGATAGACCCAACCATATTCCCATGCCAGTTCCCATGCCCTGTCAAAAATGGAGGATCTGCAAGAAGTTTGACAAACGTGGAGTATCTGTCACACGAGCGGCCTCAAAGGGTAAGGGTTTGAACAGCATGCGAGCATGTCTGCATGTGTGTGTGTGGGAAACATCCATCAAAATGGCCCACAGCGATGGCCTGGCCCCAACTGACGCTTCTTGCTCCTAGTAGTAATGCCAAGAGCTACGTTCGTAGCGATGCCCTTGCTCCGTTCGTAGCTTCTTGTTCCTAGTCATCATGCAACCGAGTAAAATCACTTGGCCCACACAGTTCGAGAAAGCCACCATATTTCACTCGAACATACTCGCTGGCATTCGCACCGGTTGGGGGTCACCGTTCTGCTTTCTCGGGCAAAAAGGCAGAGACGACACGCGTCGACACCGTGCCGTCGCCGGGAAAGCCTTCTTTGACACGAGGAGTTCATCGAGAAGGTCCTAACCTCCTGGCCCGCTCGGGCGCGGCACGCCTGGTGTTGTGCAGCGGCACGGGTTTAGAGTGGAAGGAACGGAAAGACGACCGCGGCACGAACGTGACATGGAAGGTCCGGCCCTAGAGTCATGATGCGTCATTGTTTCAGTTTTCTTGGTTGGGGATTCTTTTGTTTGGGGCATCGGCTTCGGCAGGCTAACGGCTTCGGCAGTTTCCAGACGACGGGCGCAGTAGGAAAAGCCCGAAACAGGCTGTGAGGAACTGAACCAACCTTACCAAACTATGGCAGATTGACACCCCAAACATAGAGGAATGAGTTCATTTGACCCCGGGGGTCAACCAGGGTGCCTTTATTAAAAAACAATATTCTATATATTATCTACTCCAGGATGACCATAATGGCAATGTCAGCCATTCTATGTCTATATGTAATTCTATCATAGATGAAGCTACGGCGTGTTTTTGTCCCGTCGTGATTCAGCCAAGAGAAATCGATACCAACAGGTAAACATTGTGGCTTGATCGTATGATTTGAACCCCGCATCATTTTGAATAGAAGAAACATGTTCTGCTGTTTCAGCATTCAACTGTTTGGTCCCAAGAACCACAAGCTCAGCATAATAGCTGTACCATTCTCATCATGTCGCTGGTCTTCCTCACTCTTGGGAGACCCCGCGTATCCTGCCATCGACGGTCGAACGACGCCCAGGTATGTTGGCGAATCCGCAGAATTTGGACATTGCCGCACTGCTCCATTCGCCCTCCATGCCGCGTTGGATATGGCAATGCGGGGGGGTCTGCGGATGTCTGCGGGGGGGTGGAGATTGGCAGTGCATGTGTTTGTTTTTTCAATTTTGTTACCTGCAACCACATAGATATCAAACTGAAACTCCCAGCATGCACCCTGTTCCAAGGTAAGTCTAAGTGTAACATGATATTTGGTTGCTTGACCACCGGTGCAAGTCAGGAGTTCCTTTTTGTTGATCTGCTTGATGGTGCATGTCCCATCCTTTTGCACCTCCGAGATCGTCGACAATCACTGGAAAGCGAGCTTGATCGAAAGACATTCAGACGGTTCACATCCATTCATTTCAGGACCCGACACCGTGGGGTGTCTATTTCTTTTGCCCCAACTAGCTGTGATCCGGGGTGTCCATGAACCACCCCGACTGGGAGTCCATTCATTCATTTCTCTTCCCCATAACATCCATCCTTGAAAACCCAGAGGAGAGAGAGAGCGAGAGAGAGAGCCGTTCTGCAATGACCGTTGACCCTTCGGTGGCAAAAATGGAGGACCGTTGATGCGTCTTCGAGTCTTCGCCATCACTTCGCCGAGGTCTCCATTTGCAGTTGCTTTGCAAAGTTCGAAGTACATGCTGGTGGTGCCCAATCGTGACATCTCCGTCTACACGCGCTTGTGGTGCCGGTGACCGATTTAGATCGGTGTTTGTGAAGGACGATCTGGGAGTTCGGTGATTGTGTCTATACTATACCAAGGGCGTTTGAAGGATGATTTGCTCAAAAGACGCAAAGGACGTGGACACAAAGGAAAGTTGTCCTAGATATCATAGCAGCATCTGTATAATAATGATTTTACTGTTACTGTGATGAGCTGATTGCATCCTCCAAATTTATCCTCAACATAGAACATAATAGAACTGGGCACGAAATCCTTGCTCTGTGTATTCGCTGTGACAGCGCATTTCGCCCCACATCAGGTGTGGCTACGAGGCCTACCTGGCCTACGAAGGCGGTTTTACCCGACCATTCCCTCCCCCCCAAGATTCAGCTTCCATTGATAGTCTGATAAATCAGTCTGAAAGATCTGAAAGATGCACAGGAGATGCAGTTGCATCGATTGGCTAGTCTTCAACAACGCCTGTTGTTCTGATCTCGCTTGCATTCGAGATGCTCCTAAACACTTCCACTCTTCTGTCCATGGTAGGACAGGTAGCTCTCTCAACTCTTCCAATCTCCACCCTTTTTGGAACAGTTGGGATGTTCTACCGCGTTTTGTGTGTGGTCAATCTTGCCACTTCACAGTTTGATCAATCATTGGCCCTGAAGCTAGAACCTCTGACCACGAAACCATACCACACCTGCAAGATGCCAGGTAAGAAGATCATCCGCACTGCTCGGCGCTCCATTTCCCGCGACGTGTTTTGCGCTTGGGCCATGATGCTCCCCGCACTGAGCATCGCCGTCGCACTGGGCCTGGCAGCCAAGCAGTGGCCAGGCATGCACACCTCACCGGGAGTTGAGAAGAACGGAGCGGAGGGACATGGAGGGACAAATAGGGACAGCAAGGACGCTACGAGCGGGGCTCCTGGCAGTACTACTAGGAGCAAGGACGCTCAAAAGGAACAAGGAAGCAACATGTTTGCTTTTTTTGTGATCTCAATTGATAGTACAGCATAGTACAGCCAGCTTTAACTTGTGCCGTAGCATTAAGGCCACCCGGCAACAGCTTACAGCAGTGTTTTGTTTTTTTTCCCTGCAAAGCAAGTTATGAATATAGTAAGTGAATCGAGTGAATCAACTTTCCATGTGCAACACAGTGCTGCAAATCAAGGGCCATGTCCTCACCACTTCTGTTTCTTTCACGCACGGCCTCTTTCGCCTCCTTTCCCCATCGTTCCCAGGCCGCACAGGCCGCACAGAAAGAAAGATACTTTGTTCTCTTCAAATAGCCGTCGTGTGAAGTTGACACCTCAGGTATCACTGGAACGTGGACATTTACTTGGCCACTTGGACCAGATGAAGTCGAGGGGCCGTTCGAGTGCTCAAACCCTCGTCTTCAGGGGGTTGCTGTGAGAGCCAAGTGAAAACCCTATGTTCAGGGTTTCTAGCAGGTTTCTGTGTGACACTCTTCAGGGTTTCTGCGTGAAACCCTATGTTCTTGGGTTTCTGTGAGAGTTTCAGCCAACCTGCAGTGATGACTGGCCATGAACGCAGTCGGTCATGACGCAACTGCGTGCTGTTTATCGAAATGCGGAGGTGATGTATAGGTGGTGCCATGAACGGTCAAGGCCAAGGTGCCAAAGCGGCAAGATGCAGCAAGTAGAAGCCCCAAAGGGACCCCAGCAATCGGAAATCCTGGGATGCAGTGGCAGCAACAAATCGCGAAGGGATCTCTACGTTTGTGTGAAGGCTGCGTGTCAACAACCTACGACTTCTTAATGACATAATATTTGTTATACTGTTGCTTCTTATGAGAGGCAAACTCTCAGCATCTCTCAGATAATTTTTTGATCACACCTTTTGTTTTTACGACCGTTATGCGTGTCTTCGAGGCACCCGCCACTGAGCATGAAGTAAGAAGATCGAGAGGGAGAGAGAGAGAAGACTGAAGAGTATGAGAAACGATATGTCTGAGAAGCGCTTGGCCTTTTGTGGAAGCTAGTGTTCTTGTTCCGCGGCACATTCTGTGAATGACCTGTCAGAAACGATAGGTGGGCCAGTTCCACGAATGTGTGCATGTGGGAGTCCAAAACTGACGTGCCGACACGTGATCAACATGTGTCAACCCTCAGAACGGGACCATCCCTCCGGCTAGCTCTTTAACGGATGGTAGGAGGCTAAGACTGGGTAGAAGCCTGGAGACTGAAAGAAGAACCGCACACACTCCAATATTGTTATACAGAATACAGACTCACATTATTTTGTATTAGGGTCATATATTTGGGTCATAAATGAGGTAACAATAAGTCCCATGAATGGTCTGGGAACTCTGAATTTGGGACCGAGATGGTCGCTCTCTTCCTGGCGGGTGTGGTCAGTGAGAACTTTGGCTACGTGATTTGCCACTTGGGAGAGTTTGGCGGCGATGTGGAAGCGTGCCATTAGGCATTTTTGGGAGGGCTTCTGCAAGGTCACACCAAGCCTACAATGGAAAACATAACTGCCGCAGTGAATGTGAAGTTGATATGAACGATTCTGGAATTCGAAGCATCAAAAAAGAGATGTCTAGTTTGGATGCTGAAAGGCATTGGGTCAGGTTGGCGGCAGATTCCTGATGATGTCGCAAATTGTATTCAAAAAGGAGAGGTTGACTCTCCGACATGTCCAGCCCAGACGCTTCTCTTCGCATCCCCGAAAACACTGCAAAACACATGGCTTTTCGCACACGTTCAATCCGGAGGCAGCCCTGCAAACACTGCAAAACAAATGGTTTTCGCACAGGTTCAATCCAGACGCTTCTCTCCGCAACCCAGAAAACTCTGTAAAACACATTGGGATTTCGGACATGTCCACTCCAGACACTTCTCTCCACAACCCCGGTGTTTTCCGTAAAGCACATAGCTTTCGGACATGTCCAGCCCGTGCTCTTTCTCCTCCGGTAAAAGACAAGAGCCAGATAGCAAGCAAAAGAACAACATGCTAATAATGCCAGTCCTGCCTCGCACCACGGGCCTTCGAAAACGACCTCACATCCATCACCATATCCATGTTGCCACATGTTGACCCATGTTATGTCATGCTATGCGTACGTTGACCTCTGTCTTCCGGCTCGTTGGCCTATGCTGTCAGGGTGACTGGGGGGGGAGGTCGACACGGCGTCGACCGGACGTCGACCGGAAGGTCGGCGGCTGGGCCGGCTGGGGGCGCGCTCGTTAGTTACCTTCGGTGACCACTGAAGGGCCTCCGGCTAGGACACGGGCGCGGTGGCCGGCGCCATTTGTCTCCTCTGCTTGCATCCCAGATGGATGTGTTCATTCAGTTGTGAACTGACGAACCCATGCCAAATCCATGGCACACCTCGGGCCCTGGAATGTCCTGAGTTGCATCATTTTGGATGAATAAACCAACACAGGTATGGGTATCATATGGTATCATAACCCAACAAACCAAACTGCGTGTGGGAACATGTTTGACCATTTTGACAACCATCAATGCAGCTAAACACATCATCAGTGACATCATCTGAAGACCATGTATACTGTCGGCGAAGAGTTGGGACATATTGGGACTTAACGACTGTGCAAATTCCCATCTCATGTGTCCGACCATGTGTGCGCAACTCTTAAGCAAGTGCTAGCGGCTAGCATAATCGAGCACAGTCAGTCGAGGCTAGCTGACCCTATTCTGGTTGTCAGGTTTTAGTAATGAACGGGATTGGGTGAGCCAAAAAGAGCCTGGCGCGCAGGGGAAGCCACCGTCCGAAACATAGAAAACGCTGCTTTCAATCAGATAGAATTTAAATGGTTGAAAGCAGCGTTTTTTTGTTGCCTTTTCCAATTTAATGTTTCCTGCCAATTTTGACCACATGTGTCAGGACTTCTTGACTACTCGCAGTTGCATCTTCCTGCCGTCCCCAGCACCCCGGAAATGGCTGCTCGCGTGCCCGTTGTTGAGGTCTCATCGCCAACCACTTGGGCCTCGCGGCGTCCACCGCGCTGGCGGTTGGATGGACGATGAAGCCGGATTGGTGCCTTCGAGCTCGAGAGTTACTCGGGAAGCGGGTGGTTTTCTATGGTTTCTTTGAAGATGAAGAACCGAAAGCATCGAACATCCTGGGGGTTGGATGGTTTGGGATAATATGAAGAACCATCAAAACTGTCGTACATCCTTTATTGATGAAGAGCCATGCATGCAGTTTGATGTTCAAGATGATGTTCAGCCAGCATGATTGGCGCGGAATTTGTTGGTACACTCCCCTGGCCTGATTGATGAAAAAAACATAAGATGTTCTTCCCAACGCCCACTGGGCGTGTGGGAGGTTTTTTACATGTTTTTTTTGTTTTTGCGCAGTCCGAGTCCAGTAGACTATCGATCCGGGAGGATTCCTCCGGGTGGAAGAGGGATGGTTTGTTGAAGAAAGAAACTGCTCACCTCGACAAGCTGTTGGCCGAAGTGGCCGAACTCGACTGCAGGAAAGGCCGATTCAGTAGGCCGTTTGAGGCCACAGACCCACCGCCCAGGTCAGCGGTCGGCAGCACAAGGCTGTGGTTGTGTCCAAACCGGTTCGACCCCCCCCATTCGACCTGCTAGGCTCGGTTCAGCGAGACACACAGGGGCGATCGATTCGGAATCAAGACAATCCAAACCTTTTGGTGATAGATGACAGATAGTACTAGTTCGTGTATATAGATCAATAGACGTCAATAGATCAACATATGATTTTAGAGGCAACACAGACGGTCCTGATCTTCCTTTTCCAAAGGGTTTCTTGGAGGATCCGATTTGGTCCATCTCCAAGCTCAAGAGAAAACGAACACCAACCGGCACAGTCCCGTGCGCTTTAAGGCTTCAAGTACAAGGTTTGCCAGACCAGGAGGCCTATGTGGTGCAACGAGTGATATTTCTCACTGCCGTGGCCTTCTTCTTGGTCTCTGACCCTCAGCCTATCGATCAAGGCGTTTGCTCTTTTGGCGGGGAGTCGTTCCCATTGGGACTGTCTCGAGGTTGTCCAACCCCGAAATCGACGGCTCAAGACCGGGGGTCATTCGGATCGAAGAGAGAGAGAGAGAGAGTGAGTGAGATGGCTGGAACCACCGGTCATTCCACCCGCCCCGCCCGGTCAGCTAGCCGCGGACGCGGATCCAAGCCTGAGGAGGTGGACCGTCTGCACTACGCGGCGCGCGAGTTGGAAGGGCTGCCACTGGGCGGATCTGGGGCGGATCTGGGCGCTTGGGCTAGGTTTCCACGGACCACGGAGGGTGGAAGCCAAGATCAGTTGAACTTTGACTTTTGTGGGAGGATTGGGAGGGTGGGTATTGAAGTGGCTTGTGCGAGTCACAAGAAATTTCCACTTCAGAGCCACCAGTTGGAAAGATGAACCGTTCATTGTCATCAACCTTGGGATACCGTGGGTCTGTAGAACATTCCCCACTGGATGCAGACCAACATCTACGGGGAAGAGGGTGTCCATGACGATCGACCCAACGATTTGTTCCACCTCCGAAGGCGCGACCACGATCTCGCGCGACTCGAGGCACGGTCGGACGGTCGACTCAGACCATGAACTGACATACATCTACATTGGGGGTGGTGCCAGGGGGGTCAATGTAGGCATAGTTCCATATAGTTCCAGTCCCCTGGATGGTCTGGCAAATCCAGGCCCGTTCACCTCCACTGACCGTCGCTCAGAGCTTCAGAGATCTTCGGAGGTTTGGGTCCTGACCCTTTTGGGCAGTCTCTACAATGGCCTGTTCAGGGCCTCACTGGCCTCTTCCTGACAGACTCAACTTCGGTCACGTCGAAAGCTCCGTGATTTCCCATCCCTGGGCCCCAACAAAAAAAAGCAGCGGCCCACGCTTTCGCGCGAGTCCCTCATCCTACCGGTCCGTCCGTATACGGGACCTATATAACATCGATCTACAGTATCTATAGTCGCACGCGGCCGCGCGGCAGCGACCCCAGGCAGCTCCGGAAGCACTACCAGGGCTCCACCCGCTACGCCAGCTGCTCCGAGCGCCACGACGAGGAGAAGATATGCCAGGAGATCGGCGAAAAGGCCCACTCCGTGGATCAGGCGGTCTGTTCGCGGATGTGCTCGGCCGGGGCTTCAGACGGAGTGGCGGGGGTTCCGATTGGTATCTCGTCGTGTGTTCAGAGGGAAGATGGTGGAAGGAGGTGGAAGAAGGGTGGAGGCTCCGTTGTTTTGGTTGAGGAGTCTCGATTGGGAATATTAGGGTGAAGGGTGAACGTTGCTTGGATGATTGCATGGGGGGGGTGCGTTGGATGGCTGGTTGCATGGGTGACCTCACAATTTGGGTCAGCGTGAGACCCCTTATAGATCATCATTGTGTGGACGTACTCGTTTGGAAATGGGACATATAGATATCATTTGAATCAATATTAAGACATTTTGACAATCCTCTCGAGTGCTGAGCCTTTGTTCTCAAACGCATCTATTCATCCCCTGGAGCGCTGTGCGGCCAACAATGGAGTAACACCGGGTGAGGTCGGTTAGGACCTTGCCCCAAGCTGGTTTGGTTGATAAAGGAATCCTTTAGCTGACGTGACATGCACATACACAACAGATCTTTATATAAATCGTTGGGCATCCTCTATATTGGAATATACAATGATCTAATGTATACTTGTTCCACTGGGCGGGAGAGAAGCCAACGTTGGCTGTTGAAGAAAGAGATGTCCCGACGGGTCGTCAACATGCCATGGGCCCAATCAACAACGCACCTCCACGGGCAGACGGTCGAGGTCCCGATCGGTGGCAGGTCATCCAAGTCCTCATCTCTGCCGGGATGTCATCCCCAGCGCTGCGGGAGGCACAAATGCAGGGCGTAAGCATTGAGCATGCAGGAGCGAGTTAGAGACTCCAGGCTGGCCGTACTGAGCTTGTTTGAGGTTTGCATTTGCTTGGCTGCCTCTTCGGATGGCTCCAATGTTCAAGAGATGCAAGCTTTGCAAGGCTACGGCGTGCTAGTGACATATTGCCATCCTGGCCCAAGCACGGAGTCAACTGGCAGCTCTACCCTCCCTTGAAAACCGACAATAGAAGATGTTTCCGAAGCAGATCGAAGCACCACGACAGGTGGGGACCGCGGTTGCGACACTTACTTCAGACTTCCTCAAGCTATGGCCAGTGAAAGAGCTGCTAGAAGGAAAGGCTTCAGGGAAACAAACACCGGTTTCGTGGTGTTTTCCTTCCATTCCAAGACAGCCCTGGCAGTTTCGACACAGAAGCGATTCGAGGTTTGCGGAAATGTTTGAAGCATCACCTCCCAGGAGATGCGCAATTCGCCATCCCTTCACTCTTTTTGGGTCCACAGTTATTGCTTGGCATTTGGCAGCTGGGACGCTATGCCACCCTGGTGCACTGGAAACACTGGATTGGAGACTCGCCTGGCGAGGGCCGGGCCGGATGCCATGCAAAGGTTGGAAGGTGGGTGACAGGAACGTCTTACTCGTGCAAGCCCTCTTGAGGACTTGGTGGAGTCAAGACCCGGGCCCATCCAACCCTTGGCTAGTCTGGATGGGAGTTGCATTCTCCAACTTCATCCAAATTTTGACCCGGTGTGTTTTCCTTGGGCCCACATGGGTGATGGTCGATGTGGCTTAAGATGTTCGAGGCAGCAGCTTATCCCAAGGCAGCTAGCTTCCACAGGCAGGTACCATAGCACTACGAGAAGGATTGGTGGCGATGTGGTTTGTTCTCCTTTGTTTTCTGCTGGTCACCAGGCCAAATCCTACGTAATGTGATACCCAAGGAGCAGATCAAACAAATGGAATGTTGCCTGAAGCCAATAATACATCCCCACACGCAAACTGGCCCAACTCGCGTGAGCGAGAACGGGGGAGTTCAGAGCCCTTCCATTGAAGTGGGACAGTCGGGTAGGACAATCTCCTGAAGCTTTCTCCAGGCAAGCCAGTTGTTGTTAATGGTATCGATTAACAATAAACAAGTAGCTAATTCTGATCTGAATCCAGTGTGTTTTTGGTGGCAAGAAGTGGAACTCTTGGGCTGGCTGTTCAGCATCCATGATCAGTTCAGCTCGCACGGAGAGTCATCCAGGATGGCAGTCGATGATGTTGCAAGTGCCTCGGCTGCCCCTGTGGCGGGTGCGTTTGACATGTTGTTGGAGAAAAATACAATAAAATACCTATCAGAGGTGGTTTAACATATTTTAACACATTCCAACACATTGACGTCTTATTTTTCTTTAACATGCAACATGTATATTTGTTGTTTCCGTTGCTTTGGTTCAGGGTGAATGAAAGTGCCCTTTTCTGCCTGCCTGAAATCTGCTTCGCGGCTTCGTGGCGTCGTTCCTCGCTGTACGCGACGCGATGTGCGAGTGCGACAGACTCGACGCGGAGGGGGAGAATGTCACAGTCGACTTCGGTTTCCAACCAGGCCACGGCGATGGGACGCTACCTAAGAAGAATGAGAGGTGGGTTTTATATACGTGTCCTCCATATGTGGAATTTGGACCTTGCATGGAAGGTTCGGGTAATTACCTCACCCTCCAAATCAAAGGCCTCGTTTTACTGGGCTCTATTTTCTGCAAAACTGGTAGCAAAATTTGACCTCCAAAAACTTTTCGTGGAAATGGTGGAACGCCCGACTTTACTCCGTAAAGGACGTCTTTTACTTTGGCAACTATAAGAAGTAAAAGACATCTTTTACTTAGTGAAAGACGTCTTTTACTTGGCAAGTGGTAAAAGTAAAAGACATCTTTTACTTTATGCATATATGGTGCACATATACATGGCACGATGATTGTGATTCAACATGCTGCACCAATGGCTTTCCAGGAGCGTTTTGCTCTACTTTCCGTTTCGCGCGAACATCGCACAAACAAAATATTTGTGGCAACAAGCGCATGCATATTATCATATAAGTGGCGCCCAGGCTGCTAGATCTTTTAATATGAAGCAAGGTCGATGCGTTATAACACAGACAACCCATGTGGTTGAAATTGGCCGTTTCTGGCCCGGGCATGGGACCGTGACTCTACCGTGACTCCCACCTAAACCACAAAGTTTTTGACGTCCTTTAGTAAAGGACGTCAAAAACTTCGCCATGGACATCATTGGGCGTGACTCTAGCGTGACTCTATAGCATGGGACGTGCAAGCTTCTAATGCGATTTGTTGATGAACTGTCATCGGCTTGAACAATGCACGCGTGCAATTGCAAGCAGCAAACATGACTCCCACGTAGCCACGTATATCATGGCAATGCAATTGGTCAATTGAGCAAACAACGTATGCAAACAAATACACCAAGAAAAGATTGGCACGCGTGGACTTGCATAAGGCATGGCGCCGCTAAAAGTGAGCGTATGGTTACCATGTCTCCGGTATGCATGCACATATATATATATATATGTATGTATAAGGACCATCGAACCCAAAAGAATGTTCCATGAAAATGACCTTAATGCCCAAAGAAATTTTTGTGGAAGTGGTGACCTTAATGCCCAAAGCATCTTCCGTGGAAATGGTGACCTGAAAGTTTTTGAAGGTCAAAGAAAATGTGACCTCGTAAAACTGGGTCGTTTACAGCAGGACCTCGTAAAACTGGTCCTTTTGAGGTCGAGGGGATCATGTTGAACCAACTCCCTGCCCAAAAGACCTTGGACTGAGACCCCTCGTGTGAGCGGTAGTTTGCAGGGAGCATTGCCAAAGACTGGGCACATGTATATAGCCTTATAGCATAACATTGCTGGGATTCAGGCAATTTCTATTATTGTGGTTTCAGATCATGAAGCATCTTCCCACATTTGCAAGTTGTGTTGAAGGACTGCAGGTTGTCACCCCCAGATTCTGCTGTGTCAACTCATTCCCTCTAAGGCACTGTCAGTGTTTGCAAGGCTGTGCTTCATCATTCTGCTTTGCTGGCGTTCTATTGATGAGAGATGCTTTATGCTGAAGGTCATGACCAAGCTAGCAACTCGATATGAACACTTATTGACAAATCACGGAATAGCAAATCGGGTGTGTGGAATGAGGTGGTTTTTCAATCAGCATATGGGCCCTGGCGATGACCAGCTGGTGATTTGACCGGGCGGTGATGTCGAAGTCGGGCAGCGGTTTGGACGGACCTGAACTAAACCCTGTTGGACCCAGAGTCTCATGAGGCCTTTGTGAATCGATCATTACCGTCCAGACCTTCCATCAGCATGCAGAAGGGTGGACCAATTGATCGAAGCCTCTTGGTCAAGCGCCCTCTCGTTGAAAAACCCGCCCTTCGTTTCATCCACCGTAACTCCGGGTGACTCGATCTCCGGTCGACCTCGCGCGCCAGCATCGGCGGTGGGCCGAGCCCAGGTCTCGGTGATGGTCATCCCAGGGCTCGTGGCCTTTTGTTTGGGCGCCAGCCGCTCGGAGGTGGGCGAGGTCGGCGTGGTGAGGATTTCGGTGGTCGGGTGCGGTGAGGATTTCGGTGGTCGGTGTTCTGCGTGGGCGACTCCTTGGGAATGGGGCTTTTAATGAAGAGCCTTCACCTTCGTTGCGACCTGTGATCTGGAGAGGGCTACCTGGGATTTGATAGGGATGTGGGATGATGTAGGAAGCTGCAGCGCTGCATGCTCCAGGTGAAGAATCTATCAAAGCTGGCTCAGCAGAGACAAGACCAACAGAAGTTGGTGGGAAATTAAAACATCCGTCTCCTCCACTAATTCTGTAGCATCTATAATTAGACTCTAGATTCTAGATCCAAACATCCATAGATGTTGTTCTTTTTTCTTTATATATACACCTCCAGTATCCTCCAGTCGTACTTCCTCATAAGGTATTTAGACCCTCCTGGCACCCACCCCAGTCCCACCTCCTCAGAAGGTTCTTGGAGGCCTAGGTTTATACATACCATTGAGATATCTGTCTTTTTGACAAGAATGTTTAGTTTCCTACGTCGGACTTGCTTGCTGAAGATCTTGGTGGAGGATGCTCCCTGATGAGGCCTGCTTACGACCGTCATGATCGTATTCATTGCTTTCCACATCTCCTTCTTGCTGGTACCTTGGGATGTCAGTCAGTGGGCTGAGCCATACCGCCATATTGTGCTGCCAGCCATACCTCGGTTCATCTAGAGGATCAGTTGCAGTGAGAGTTTTACAGATCTAGAGGATCTACCCAAGGGATGTATGAGGACGCTACACTTGCTGATGTGGGAGGACGAGAGTTTTCAACAGGTCAACCAACCATGAGGATTCCCGATCATTGAGTGCCTCACGTTATATAGGCTCATGTAGGCTCCAGCAAAGAGTAATACCTTTAAAACATGTAGAACATGAGACCTGAACCCTACAAAAAACACATTCTTGATGCCGAGGCACCCGCCATACTCCGCGCCTTGCGGAACCAGGATTTGGCATGATTTGACCTAGACTTAGACTTTGCAGAGGGTTTCACATGAACACTTTCGTGGTGTTTGCCTGCAAAACCGGAAGGAATGAGAAGGAATGAACACATGTGTTGGATCTCATATTATCCATGATTCCATGCATCAAAGATTGATCCACACTCCTGTCCACACACGGAAGTACCTGGACCCTTGAAACAACGGAAGCAAAATGGGTGCTTTCATTGACATTTTCGTTAAGAGCCTATTTCAGGAATGACTCACCATGCAGCTTCTTATGTTTTAACATGTTTTTAGTCTTAACATGTTTTAACCACCATTCAGTACAGCTCTTTCATAGGTAACAATATCCATCATCCCATTTTCGCTACGAACTGGAGGGTCCCGGATTAGAATTCCATTTGGTACCATGGCCGAGTTTTGGGCAATGTATACGTCTCAATTATTCAATTTGTCTTTGGTTTCATACGCCCAACCAGACCCGGAGGGGTTTGAAATCTATTCGTCTCCATGACGTCCGCTGTTCAGACCTGCACCAGGTCTTAGTCTTCGCTTTTCTGGGCATTCGTGGCACCTTGCACCTGCCCGGTGGCTGCCCGGCGAGTGCTCGGTTGGATGGAGTTGCACCCCAGAGATTGTAAGAAAGAGGTATCTCACGTCTTTTTGTTAAGAAGGGGTTTCCAAAAGCCAGCGATGAGAAACCTTGCTTCACTGTTTCTCTTTTGGAACTTTGCTTCACGTTCTTGTTCTTCAGCGGAGGGGTCATGCATTGGTTGCGTCCATTGATTCATGGGTGACCATTCACCAGATTTGATCGAGTTCTTCAGCAAGGAGATTGAGGAGACAATCATCAATACTGTTCCTTTGGTAAGACCATAATTACTCTGTAGCATAATACTATATATGATATTATATGTATCGCATATACACACATTGCTTTGGATCAAAAAGCCTTAATGTATGCATAATCCATGGCTGCTGCCTCAAGATTCAAGGTACAATACAAAAACTAGCTGCAAATTGCCCATAGACATCTAAAGACCATCTAAATATTGTAACAAGTATTTGTTATGTGATAGGTGCATTTACGCAATGAGAATGCATATGTCGATTAGCTAGTGATTTGGACCGCTGCCCGAAGCGACCGAATGGACTGAAGCACACGAGGAGATCGCGCGCGACCGATCCAGGCCCAGTCTTGGTTCAGTTCTTCCTCACACGCTTTCAGTGCCCTGGTCGAGTGGCTTTTGCTTCGGTGCCCATGGATTGAGCTGTCAGAAACCTGAGTTTGGCCGTCTGGTATTGTACAATAATCATCAATTATTGCTTCCCTTATTTCTTTGTGACTTCTTTTTATTGCAGTGCTTTTCCCCATTCCACGAGTTGGTGTTTGCAGGCGCGGCAGCTGCGACGCGCCGGACACGGACGCTGCGAGCCGCACCGCGAGCCGCACCGCCAGTGACGCGACTGGGGAGTCCACGGAGTCCACAGAGAGGGGTGAGAGCTCAGAGACTTGGATGAAGCACATGCCCTAAGCTACTAGGAACAAGTGCATCGCTACTAGTAAGAAGTGCCTTACTAGTAGTAACAATGTTTGCTATTAGTGACAATAAAAGCTTCTTGTTACTACTAGTAAGGCACTTGTTACTAGTAGCGATGCACTTGTTCCTAGTAGCTTATAGTATGCCCTAGGGATCCAGTCGTACCGAACCTCAGGTGGAGAAATTCCTGGCAGCAAATCAGTCTCCTTCCTCACCGTACCTGAGGTATGGTACGAAAACGGATCCCTAGGGATGGATGCGGATGGCGGTAGCGGTCCGGACGGAGCGGACGGAGCGAAGCGAATGGATCCGGGCACTGCGATGGTTGGAAGAGATCCATGATACAAAAAAGATCAACAAAAGGATACAAATTGGACTAGAGAGGATTAGAGTTGATTGGACTAAAGGGATACAATTGAGGCCTCCGATAGTTGGAAGAGAGCCAGATTGGACTAGAGTCCGGATAGATTTTTTTGTTGTTGATCCTTTTTCCTGCTAATAGCAGGTGCCGAGGGAAATGAAGACCATAAATGTTGCTTGTGTTTGTTTCAACGGGGTTGACAATAGTTGGAGTGTGGTCATTTCAAACCGCATGCATTAAGAGCCCATTGGGAGCCCCTTAAGAGATCTCCATCAAACCAGACATAGGAAGAACAGTAGGAAGAACCATGATGTCGGGGACCGATGTGTTCAATCTATTCCCCCAGGGGGTCCACATACCTTCTCATAAGAAAAACACTCAATCACCCTCTCGCAGGGTATGTGGAGTTAACATCGCATCAGGGCCATGTTCAACCACCTCCACCTGAATGATCTTGAACTCTGGATTCTGATCGTGATCGCTTCGGCTGGCATGCTTTTCGACCAGCCGCACCGGTCGGACGTCAACAGCACCCAACAGCGGGTTGTCCACGATCATTCTTCCTCCGCATCCGGTGGAAAACCCACAAAATCGACCGGCCCGGAACCGAAGCTGTGAAGCGTCCGGCTTTGAAAATGGCGCCAGTGAATGCCAGATGCAATCACGAAACCAGATACTAGACCTTGGAATGCCTAGACTTACACAAAAATGACCGATGAATACCAATGATCGTTGTCCATGTTTCCGAGGACAATATTGCAAGTTGTTGCATGCTGTTCTGATGGTCGTGCAACGTGTGTTTGACTCCTATAAACTCCTGCTTTTGAACTGTTGAATCCATCAAAACTATATACTAGACGTCCCATGTCGCTCTGGAGCTCCCTGGTCCCCGGTCTTTTTCGCTCGTCTCTCTGAGGATGACACAAGTACCAGTCCCAAGCAGGATCTGCGCCCCTCCTCGCCCCTGTGGTGAAAAGACCGGCCGCTGGAGCGACCGGGTGGCGTCCGTGCCGTCGTCCGGCGCGGCGAGGGCCCGGGTCCGACTGTTGGGGTTGAGAACGGATGAACACGATCGATGTCCTTGTGACATAGAGGTTTATATGCGGTCATCATATGAATTATGTCAATTTCCTTGTGATCCTAAGCGGACGATCATATGACTTGATGAAGAACATCCCGTTTGCACCGTTCCCGAAACACGGAGGACCGGAGACCCCATCCGCGGAATGCGAAAAACCGTTCAGGCAGAGACATCCCATGCAGGAACTGAACACAAAAGAAAGCAGCTAATTGGTATAGTGACTACGAATCTCAGTGTGTTTTTTCCCCAAACAGTGTGGACACACTAGGGGTTCTTACGGTAAGTGAAAAGCAGCTGATGCTTAGATCGCTGAATCGCGCGGAAGTGTGCGGCTAATTCGCTGCTATTTACAGTACATTCATGCCTCTCGACATCGTCAATGTGCATTTCGACTGCGCAAGCTCGCAAAGTCTGGGTGGCCGCGGCGGGTGCTTCTAGCGACTGCGCTCTCGTTGTGGTGCCGTGCCCATTCTCGCACATGGTGGTGACTTTTCGTGGCAGGCGCAAGGGAAACCTTGTGTTTTGGTGCTCCAAAGTCGACCTTTCGTGACAGGTGCAAGGGATCGGAGCTGTTTTACTTCGAAATGCAGTTTTCGTGGCAGGTGCGGCACTTTGGACATGGTGGTGATCGTTGAGGAGCTCAGATTTCGTGACAGGTGCAGTGAATCGCGACTTTTGGACATGTGGACCTCGAAGTGCAGATCTCTGCGCAGGCGCAGCACTTTGTGCCTCACTCTCACACACTCACCTTCACACTCGCACTCACTCTCACCCACACTCACCCTCACTCACACTCACTCTCACTTTCACTCACACTCACTCTCACTCACACTCGCACTCACACTCCCTCACACTCACCCTCACCCTCACCCTCACACTCACACTCACTCTCCCTCTCTCACTCACACGCACGCGCACACTCACAGTCACACTCACTCACCGCCACCGCCACCGTCACCACGATCCCCACCTTCACCACCATCACCTCTCTGGACCCCAATGCGTCTAGATCTCTAGACTTTCTGCTTATAGACCTCACACTCTTGCCGGTAAGTTGTGGTTCTTCTTTGCTGAAAGGCAGCCTGTTTTGGTTCGTGAAGTCACGACAATCACTTGCTTTGTGAGGAATGACTATAACAACTATATAATTAGTGATTTTGAGTAACTAAGCGGAACATATATATATATATCTTCCCCCAATCGGCTTGGACCATAAGCCGTGTTTTGCTATTAAAAGGCGACCTTATTTCATGGTGACCGAGCTCACCCCCCCCTACGCAATTCATCTGTACAGACCTTCCGGGGCCAGGCAACGCTGCAGCCCTTGCTACAGACCTTCCGTCCGGGGACCGGTGGTGATCGGCTGGGACTGGGCCACTCTGGTCGACTGGTTGGACTGGCAGTGCCACTCTGAGACTCTGAGGCTTG